CCCGAGCAGCTGCGATGGGAGGAGCATCAGCAACATTGAAGTCGCCACCTACGATCACGAGGAGCGTCACGGGGCCCTTGGAGGCTAAATCGAAGTTCTGGGATACAGCATTCATGACGCAGTCGCGAATAGTACGGGGGAGACCGAAATTATAAATGGTGTAGCGGGAGATGGTAGTGTCATTGGCAAGACTGTTACGAACATTCAGAGCTCTTTCAAGGACCAGCGAGCGAGCCTCAATCTCAGGCACTGACCACCCAGCCGTCACCTGTAACTTCTAGAGACCACAAAGTACACCGCCAGCAGCGCGAATGGAATGAAGGAGGAGCGAAGCGCGAGCCTGGACAGCAAGACAAAGCGGGTAAATCATCCCCCTGCCTTCCTCGATGGTGCCCTGAGAACCCTTGATGCCGAAGAGGCCCCCTCTCCAGATAAGTTTCCGTACGAAGTGGAATCTCCGGCGGTCCACTTGACGGATGGCGGGGTATCGCCTGGGTTGGGTTAGACGGACAAGACCCGCTCCCAGCCGACACTGATGGTGCCCTTGGTCTCGTCGCCGAAGAACCTTTGGACTGGTAGGAGTCAGCGCAGGCCTTGCGGATGGACGTGACGAGCTGCTCTTTCTTGATCTGGCAGGGAGCCTGGTCGGAGTCGAGACAAAGGTCGACCGTCGTGCCAGTGGCGTCCTGAGACTATGAGCCACCACAGAATCTGGGAGACGTTGCGTTGAGCGAAGTGTGCGGCACCTCGAACACGACCTTGGATACGTTGAGCAGCGGGCTGCCCTTCAAAGGAGACCTCCTCCAAGGACACACAATTATTTTCCCGAGTGGGGCCGATGGCGGATTTGAAGGCTTCCGTCGTCGTGAGCGACCGTGTGCGAGCCACCAGGACTGCCGTATCTGGAGCGCGGTCGAACTGGGACCTGTCGGCGATGATGGGTGGCGGGGGTTGTTCCGACGAAGTACACAAAACAGACGTTGAAGCTCGGCAATATTGCCGTCAACTTCCTTAAAACTCTCACTGTGGGCGGCGGCCTGGAACTCGACGCTCCATGCGCCGCTCGACCTGGGTCCGCAGGGCAGTACATGATGATTGGATAGTGTTGGCCAGCGAGCCCACAGACCGCTGGACACTGGAAGACATTTCGGACTTGGCGAGCTCGAGGGCGTGCATGAGGGAGGAGCGGGTGGCGTCCACGTATGCCTTGATGTCCTCGGACGCTGCATCGCCAGCGGCAGAGACAAAGTCGTCATCATTCCGATGGCCATTGCAACGATGGCACCCATGATCAGCAGCACGGAGTTGGGAACGCGGAGCCGAAGACGGGAAGGTGGGCGTATCATCGATGGCATCGGCCACGGCGGCAGCCGCTGTCGGAAGCAGGGGGATGCCCTGCAACATTGATTCGCAGAGCTCCGCTGGTAGCGTGCACCCGAAAGCACTGACGCTGGAGAAAAAAAGATTCACGGCGCTGGGCAGCTCCCGCGAGGTTCGTGGCTGCCAAAGGACCTGCGGGGACTTCGAGCCAGATCCTCGCCTGCGTTCAAGCTGAAGCATCCAGGGCTCTGGAGTTTCAACTTCAGCCAAGATGACTACGGAAATCCTCATCCTCGTCCTCCTCCTCCTCCTCCTCTTCATCCTCTTCCTCCTCCAACTCATCCTCTCTTCCTCCTCCTCCTCCTCATCATCCTAATCATTATCATCATCTTTCTCCATCCTCCTCCTCCTAATCATTACCCTCCTCATCCTCACAATCATCATCAGCATCATCATAATAATAAGCATCATCATCATCATCATCATCATCATCATCATCATCCTCATCATCATCATCATCACCATCATCATCATCATCATCATCATCATCATCATCATCATCATCATCACCCTCATCATCATCATCATCCTGATCATCATCATCATCATCGTCGTCGTCGTCGTCGTCAGTCTCACCGTCATTACCAGCAGAAGCAGCATCATCATCATCAACAACATCAGCATCAGCATCAGCACCAGCATCATTATCATCATCATCATCATCATCATCATCATCATCATCATCATCATCATCATCATCATCTCATCAGTCTCATGATCACGACCATCATCAGCAGCAGCATACTAATCATCATCATCATCATCATCATCATCATCATCATCATCATGATCATCATCATCATCCTCAGCCTCAGCATCAGCATCATCATCATCATCATCATCATCATCATCATCATCATCATCATCATCATCATCATCATCATCATCATCATCGTCGTCATCATCATCATCATAATCATAATCAGCAGCACCATCAGCATCATCATCATCCTCATCCTCATCCTCACCATCACCATCACCATAATCATCATCACCATCATCATCATCGTCAGCACCATCATCAGCATCATCACCACCGTCGTCATCAACACCATCATCATACAAAAAACACAGCATAACAATGCATTGCACATCATAGCATAGCATACGGAGTAACAGCGATGAGTGAGGTGTGGGTGTGACTGACCTTCCAGCGCGGTGAAAGTGATTACTCACTGCCTGGAGCTCCCCAAAATTTGTGCACCTACTAGCATGGACCTGTCCACCGTCATCATCATCATCATCATCATCATCATCATCATCATCACCCTCATCATCCTCATCATCCTCATCATCATCATCATCATCATCATCATCATCATCATCATCAGCATCATCATCGTCGTCGTCGTCGTCGTCAGTCTCACCGTCATTACCAGCAGAAGCAGCATCATCATCATCAACAACATCAGCATCAGCATCAGCATCAGCATCATTATCATCATCATCATCATCATCATCATCATCATCATCATCATCTCATCAGTCTCATCATCACGACCATCATCAGCAGCAGCATACTAATCATCATCATCATCATCATCATCATCATCATCATCATCATCATCATCATCATCATCATCATCATCATCATGATCATCATCATCATCCTCAGCCTCAGCATCAGCATCATCATCATCATCATCATCATCATCATCATCATCATCATCATCATCATCCTCATCCGTAGTCACTTTGGCTCAAGTCTTCGGGCCAGCTTCCATCGGGTGGCTGGTGCGGTTTGTGATGGCGCGGGAAGCGACCCCTCGCGGGAGGCCGCCGCTGGCGACGATGTTTGCAGCCCGTCACGGCGGCAGAGGCGCGAGCTGGCCAGGCGTGGGCCCGTTGGTCGGGGGACGTTCTTGTCCACGACCTGCAGCGGGCGGTGCGCTTCTGGCGGAGCCGCTACGGGAAGTCGGTGGAGTCGCTGGTAAACCCGACACGGCGGAGCGCCTGGCGGTGGTGACGGTGCACCTGAAGGACATGGTGCACGGCAAGGCCATCGAGTCGCCCGTCGACACGCTGCGGAGGAACGTGGCGCTCCACACGGCGTTGGCGCCCTGGCCGCTGATGACGGCGACGGCGTGCTCGCTACGCCGAGCCCAGAAGGGGCCCAGGCTTGTGGCGCGCCCCGCGCTGTCGGCGGCTGGCCTTGCTGCAGGCGCGGTGAACATCCCTAGCTCGGGCAGACCTGCTGAGGGCGGCGCCCCGCTAGCGCGGAAATTGGCCGAGTCCCATCCCGCGCGCGGGCGCGGGCGTCGCTGCCGCGGAAGCTGCCAGGGCCGCCGGGGCCGACGCGGTGCACGACGGCGAGATCGGGACAGAGCTGGACGGCCACGACCCCCTGCTAGCGGTGCCGCCTTTCCCCTTGCTCGTTAAGGAGCTCAGCGATCATGGCACGATCGCGACGCACGAGCTCGCGGCGAAGCAGGGCGTGGCTGGCACGCAGTGGCAGGTGCGAGAAGGAGCTGGCGGTGAAGCGGAGCCCGCACGTAATCAGTTACAGCTCGGAAATCGGCGCGGCACCAGCATGGCGACGTGGAACGCCCGTGCTGAGATCGCCACGGATTGGCTGGCGGGCGGCCCCCATAGCAGGCGGCCCGAGGAAACGCTCGTGGGCACGATCGAGCACGAGGAGGAGCACGGCGTGGAGGCGATGCACAAGGGGAAGCTCATGGCGGCGGCGGCGGCGGCTGCGGAGGCGGACGACGACTCCGCCACGCCACCTCCTCTGCCAGCTTGCGTGGTGGACTTCTGGGAGCGCCTGGAGGACGCCACCAAGGGCATCGAAACCACCATGAAGTGGGAGACCCGCGCGGCCAAGCGCGGCATGATCATGCACCGAATCTCACAACTGGAGGCTATCTACGGGGAGGCCCAGCGGGTGTTGGACGGCTCCGACGACGGGGACGACGATGAGGCCGAGCTGGAGCGCTTCGAGGTTCAGAAATCGCTCGAGTCTGCTCGGCTGCAAAGCATCACGCTAGAAAACGAGAGGCCTGTTTAGGCCGCCGTGGGGCCAGCGCCTCGCTGCCATTTCATATCGCAGTTTGGGGTGTGTCTGCATGGAAACCCTTGGGAGGGGGCCCGAGAACCCCTAGTAGTGGTGCGCAGTTGAGCTTAAGGTGGCTCTATCCTCGCCTGTGCAGCGGGCGCGCGCGCCCGTGGGAGGGGCCAGCCCTGGGTGCAGGGAGGCGCGCGGTGGCATCTGCAGGAGCGGAGGGCGGGCGCGACACTGCGCCGCCACACCCTGGGAGAGCGCGATCATCGTCATCATCATCAGCATCATCATCATCAGCATCATCATCAACAACATAATCATCATCACCACCACCACCACCATCGTCATCATCACCACCACCATCATCATCATCACCACCACCACCACCACCATCATCATCATCATCAGCATCATCATCATCATCAGCAGCAGCAGCAGCATCCTCATCGACGTCATCATTATCAGCATTGTCATCGGCATCGTCATCGCGTCATCGTTATCGGTATCGTCATCATCATCGTCGTCGTTGTCGTTATCAGCCTTCTTCGCCCACGGCGGCGGCGCTCCAAGACCCCTGCCTCCCGCCCGACATTGTCAAAGGTGGAGCCCCCCGCGAGTCCTCTGGCGTCTTCACCTCGGCCACATGGACGGGAGAGGAAGGGGAAGGGGGGAAGGTGACGGAGAGGGAGACGGAGGAGTTGGCCTGCCACTTTCAGGAAGCGCTTCCGACCGACCGCCGTGCAACAAATCGTCAAGAATGAAAACGAAACTGCGGGCACCAAAAGGGCAAGGAACCCCAGCGGCCTAAAGCGTGGACCTGGCAAAGTTGACACAGGTGGGGAGGAGGAGGAGGAGGAGGAGGAGGAGGAGGAGGAGGTGGAGCGTGCCCAGAGGAGTCCGTCCACTCTACATGCTTGAACTACTGCAGCTACAACTGCTACTGCTGCTGCCGCCGAAAGGAGGACGAGGAGGAGGAGGAGGAGCAGCAGCAGCAGGGACGGGGACATGAGGTGGAGAAGGGTGGACGAGCCCCAGCGCGACACGCCCACGCCTCGGGAGCTGACGCTGGGATCTAACTCGACTCTCTGGGCCAGGCGCTGCTGAGCGCTCGGCAAAGCGAACTACGTACCCCAGCTGCCTCACGGCGTTGACGACGCTCTGCACGTTGCCTGCACCATAATCGAGAAGGACCACCTTTCGCAGAGGGCATCCATACACCCCCACCGCCACCTCCGTGCCATCCTGGGACCGAGGACGGTGCTCAGGCCCTCCTGGCCTCGGCCAGGAGGGCGTTTATGCACCGTGCCAGCGCCCAGGACGTCCCTTGCAGGGCACGGTCGTGGTGTGCAGAGGCCCTCTGCGCACACCTCGCGCGATCTGTCATCGTCGGGCTCCAGCCGCGCACGCTTCGGGTCCTCCTCGGCCGCCATCCCCTCAAGAGAGACCGGGCGCCTGCGCGTGCGGAGGGCAGCCAGGCGCCCTCGACCCAGAGGTGCGGACGACTGTGCCTCGAGCCCCCCAGAAGACAGGGGGAAGGAATTGGAATCGGAATGGGAACAAGCGCGAAGCGTCACAAACCAACAAGCTGCACCATTCCTGGGGTCTCCATCCCCTGGATGTCCTTCTTCTCCTCCTCCTTCTCCGCCTTCTCATCCTCCCCCTCCTCCTCCGCCTCCTCCTCCTCCTCCTCCTCCTCCTCCTCCTCCTCCTCATCCTCCTCATCCCCATCCTCATCCTCCTTCTCATCATCCTCATCCTCCTCCTCCTCCTCCTCCTCCTCCTCCTCCTCCTCTCCTCCTCCTCATCATCATCAGCAGCAGCATCATCATCATCATCATCATCACCATCATCAGCCTCATCATCATCATCATCATCATCATCATCATCATCATCATCACCACCGCCACCACCGTCATCATCATCACCATCATCATCATCACATCATCATCATCATCATCATCATCATCATCATCATCATCATCATCATCATCATCATCATCATCATCATCATCATCATCATCATCATCATCATCATCATCATCATCATCATCATCATCATCATCATCATCATCACCATCATCATCATCATCATCATCATAATCATCATCATCATCACCACCATCATCATCATCATCATCATCATCATCATAATCATCATCATCATCATCATCATCATCATAATCATCATCATCATCAGCATCATCATCATCATCATAATCGTCGTCATCATCATCAACATCATCGTCATCATCATCATCATCAACATCATCATCATCATCATCATCATCATCACCACCACCATCACCACCACCACCACCACGGTCATCATCATCAGTCTCATCATCAGCATCAGCATCGGCATCAACATCAACATCAACAACATCAACACCATCATCAACATCATCATCAGCATCATCATCATAATCATCATCATCATCATCATCATCATCATCGTCATCATCATCATTATGGTCATCATCATGACCATCGCCATCGCCATCGCCATCACCATCACCATCACCATCACCATCACCATCATCATCATCATCATCATCAGCATCAGCATCAGCATCAGCATCTGCATCTGCATCAGCATCATCATCAACAACAACATCATCATCATCATCATCAACATCATCATCATCATCATCATCATCATCATCATCATCATCAGCAGCAGCATCATCATCATCGCCATTTGGGCTCAAGGCCCGTGCTTGCGATAGCGGGTAAACCGAGGTTTCTCTGGTTCCTGCTTGCGCCGGATGGCCCTTGCGCGCTGGGGCGCACGAGGGCATGCGCTGGTCCCGCTCGCGGGGGCGGGCGCTGCCGGCGGCGGGATCCCGTGGGCCGCCTGGTGGGCCATCCAGGCCGTCCAGGACCCGCGTGTCCGCAGCGGCAGCGGAGGCGAGCGCTGCGGGAGCAGCTGCGGCCTCTGCTGCGGCTGAGGCGGCGGCCACCTGGATGGACGAGTCCGTTCGGAGCGACGGGGAGCCTCTGTGCCTCCTGCTCGAAGGCCTTCGCCGTCGCCGCATTCCTCGCGAGCCTCCTCAGCGTCTCCAACCTCCTGGTCGCCCTCTGCTGCTGCGGCGGCTGCGCACCCCTCGGCACGGCAGAGCCCACCGTCTCCGCTGCGCACTCGGGCCGCCCACCTGGCCGAGATCGCCGACTACGTTGAGGCGGCGGGGCCAGCCGCCGTCGAAGACGCCGCCAGGCGTTTCGGGGTCACGCCCGCTGCTGTCCGCTCTTGGCTGGTTCGTTGGCGTGTGGCTCACCACGGGCCTCGCCAGTGAGCCGGACAGCAGGGCGGGCGCCACCTCCATCGGCGGCTGGGTGCGGGACCCGACGGAGGAGGGGCTCCGCCCGCACCCCGGCCCGCTAGATTGGGCTCGGCTCCAGCTGCTCATCGGTGCCCAGCCCTCGATCGAGGCGGCCTTCGACGCCCTGTGCGGCCCGCGTGCTGCCGGGGAGGCCGGCGAGGGGGCTGCGGGAGGCGGCGGCTGGGGCGCGGGAGCTGCTGGAGGAGGTGGCGGTGGAGGTGCTGGCCTGGGGGAGGCGCTACACGCGGCGGAGGAGGTCGCGGGGGAGGCGGAGGAGGTCGCGGGGGCAGTGCGCCGGCCACCCCCAGAGGAGCCGCAGGGCAAGCGGCTGCCGAGCCTGCCGGAGCCACCGTGGCGCCAGCCGTCGAAGCCGCCGCGGCCGGCGGAAAGGGCCAGCCGGCCGTGCGGCCAGCGAGGCCGCCAACGGCACAGGGGCCGCCAGGGCGGGTGGGGTCGCTGCTGGCGCCGCCGCCGAGGCCGTGGGGGCAGCCGCGCGCGGGGTGGCCCGCGGGAGGCGGCAGCGGCGGTGCATCGGCCACGCAGCCGGGACAGCAGGCGGGCGCGGCTGGTGGAGGGGCACCGCGCTGGGGCGCCCTGGACGTGCCGCCCTCTGAGGCCGCGCCGCGAGTGGCCCACCTCGCCGATGCCCTCCGAGAGGAACGGTGCCGTCTCGGGGCGAGGATCGAGTTCGTCGAACTTGGGGAGCGGCCGTGCCCCCCGACGCCAGTCGCTGAAGACAGCGCGCTAGAGGTGCCGCCGCCAGCGTTCGCCGGGGCGCAGGGGGAGGAGGCTGCGGAAGGCGGCCCTGCTGTGGGGGGGACCCCGCCACCGCCGGAGCAGCAGCCCGCCCATGCTGCTGAGGCGCCGCCTGGCTCTGAAGCCCAGGCGGGGCTGGCAATTCGTCTTCTGGTGCGGACATCCGTTCGCCGGGGCACTGCGTGCGCTGCGTGCGGTCACGTGCTCAACGGCCGTGCGCGGAGGCCGACGATGTGGAAGTGCAGAACCTGCCACTCGTCGTTTTGCCAGCGTTGCTAGAGGCCTCTGGAAGCGGGGCGCCGGCAGAGGCCATGCGCGCTACCGGCGGCGGGCGAGGCAATGCGCGCGGCGGAGCGGCGGGCCAGCTCGGCGGGCCAGCATGCCCGCCCCCCTCAGGCGCCACCGGACGCAGGCCGCTTGCCGCCAGCACCGCCGGAGGTGCCGGCGCCGCCGCAGGTGCAGTTGCCAGAGGTGGCCGCAGCGATCCGAGATGCTGCGATCGCTGCCAAGCTGGAGACCACTGCTGCTAGGGGGCCCACCCAGGGCTCTGTGGCCCGGCCGCCGTGGGCATGTCTGCGGAGAGCGGCGAAGATGTACATCTACTCGCTCGAGGGCGTCGCAGAGGCGTACGGGCGCGGTGCCCAGGCCGACCCAGTCGCAGCCCGGCGCGCTTCATTGAAGCTGTGGGCTAACCCGACCTTGCTGTTCCACCCGTGCGTGCGCCCGCAGGAGGAGGACGAGGCCCCAGGGGACGCGAGGGCGCCGGCGGAAGGGGGCCGGGCGGCAGCCACCCTCACGGCGAAGCTGCGGCGGCGCATGCAGCTTGCAGAGCTGGGCCGCTGGGATGAGCTGATTGGCCTCTACGAGGCTGCGGTGGGCGAGCGGGCTGCTGCTGGGCCTTCGGCGGGGCCGCCCAGGCAGCGGCCGCCAGGGAGCGACGCCCAGGGCGAGTACGACAGGATCATCCGCACGGTGAAGGAAAGGGGCGTGTCCAGGGCCATGCCGCACGTGGAGGGCGTGCCGCAGGTGCCGCGGGATGAGGTCGTCGCGGAAGCCCTGGCGAGGCTAGCAGCCATGCCCACGTCCGCCGAGGAGTGCGCGGAGGTCTTGGCGCTCTTCGACCGCTGCCGGGCGGACTCTGCTGTCGTGCCCCCCGTGGTAAAGGTGCTGGGATGCGCGCCGGACTGCGCTTGCTCTCGACTTGCACGCGGCTCCCGAGCGGCTGGCGCAATGGGCTGTCATCGTCGAGACTGCCGCGACGCATGGTGGAGTTGGTGCTCCTGCAGCACATGCGGGCCGGCCCGCATCTGCAGCGTGGACGCGGGAGGACGCAGTGCTGCGGGGGTCGGGCGTCTTGGAGCCCATCGATCCGGGGGCCAGCGACGGGCCCCACGCACTTCCAGGGCGCACGCTTCGCGGCGCTGCCCTGCGCGAGCGCCTCATCCAATCTGCCAAGTCGGCCGCGCCCGCCGGCAGGGTCCTGGCAGCCCGGCGCCGCCTGGAGCCCGTCCATCTCGGGCTCACGCCGGATCATTGTTGTTGATGGCGACACGGTGCCTATGCCGTAGACGCCCTCGGCCGGAGGCCGAGAAAGTAGTTGGAGGTGCCACAAGCCGGAGGCAGAAGAAGTGGTGAAGGACCACAACCAAAAAGAGGTGCCCCATTGTTGCCAGGACGTTGAGGGGCTGGGCGCGGCGCTTCGAGTCCCCAGCGCCGGGGCAATCGCCAGAGGCCATTGTCAAACTCGACTTGAAGAACGCCAACGGGGCCATGCCGAGGAGCGTCGTCCTGCAGGACGTCTTCAACGCGGAGCCGGCTGTCGCGCTCCTCCTCTTCGTGCACTGGGGAAACGCGTGCAAGACCTGACAGAAGGTCGGGGACGAATGGAGGCTCGTCCTGAGTTGGCGGGGAGGGGGCGCCAGGTCGCGGCTGATGCAGCTCGCCTTCCTCTTCCACGCCGCGCGCATGGTGCGGGACGTCCTTGCGGCCCACAGGCCGGCGCGACCAGGAGATGCCCTCGCGACCACGGGCATCGCAGACGATTGGCACTTGGCTGGGGCGGCCTCGTCGATCGAGCGAGTGTGGCCAGGGCTAGGGGCGGTCACGGCCGCTGGCGGTCACACGCTCACCGATTCTAAATGCGGCTGTTGGTTCCCAGGCCTCGGCAAAGGCACGGGGGAGCCAGATGGCGCGACGGCACGGCTCGAAGAGACGACGAGGCGGTGGCGCGGCGGCATGCACGTTCTCGGCACGGCGCTGAGAGGGACAACACCTTGGACATAGACGCAGACCTGTGCGGCCTCAGACCGGCGGAGGGCAGGGCTGCCAGGGCCGCGAGGCTGTGCGAGAGGCTC